ATATGCTCCTTTCTCAAGCCTCTTACAGCTCCTCCGTAACTGTAGCCGTTTGGGATCTTTCATTACCGCTCTATTATACTACCCCAGGGGGTGGTGGAAGTGTAAATGATGATGTTGGATTAACTTATTAGCCCGTTAGCCTTCCATCTCTAGAGAAAGCTAATGACGTGAACTCACTACAGCGGAGGGCATATATTCATGTCGGTGTTAGGTGTATACGTCGGTCTTAACATCCACGGTAGCAGTCCACGAACTAAACTATCCAAAGTCAAACGGCACTAGGCTATGTACCGTAGGTAAGGGTGTGCCAAGCTACGTGGCCCGGAGGTCTTGGATCCAAATTTGTCTTGTACTGCCCATAGAGCAAAAGTCCGGTCCACCCCAAACTGTTCGATGGTCGATGGCGTCTCACAACTCGTTTTACGGCGCCTACTCAGGAGAAGTCCATCGCGCCCACCTCCTATAGCTACTAGTAGGTATAGTAGCTAAGTACACGCAGATGTCTACCCCATGGGGCGAGTCTGTGGGAGCGCATGGCTTTTCTGGCAACCCAAGGCCCAAGTAAGCTCCAATCGAGCAGCCCTAGGGCCACACGACGCCATAGGTAGCGCAGGTATTGGTCTTCCACGAGGTCATGGCAACCTTGAAGGAGATGGGGTGATCAGTCATATATACGTGAGACTTCAATACACGCCAGAGCATTGGCTTGAGAACATGGGCTCAACTGCCAGGGAAGTTCACTGGCGCGGGAACTCCAACTGGGATGTAAGCTCCCCGCCGACGCTCTCCCTATTCACCAGAGCGACAACGATTCGAGTATGGCTGAGGAGGAGCGCGAGATAAGACGCCGCGTCTGGTGGCTCCTCTACATCGTCGACCGCCATCTCGCGCTTCACGAGAACCGGCCGCCTGTTCTCTCAGATGGCGAATGCAGTGGCCTTCTTCAACCAATGAACGACATGGACTACCAGGAAGGGAATCTCCAAGCTCGCCTGCAGCTCTACGGGTCGCCATTTCAGTGTACTAGTCCTAGTCTCTACGGTTTTTTCTTGCCGCTCATGGCAGTTCTCGGCGAGGTTCTGGACCACCGGCGCCCTACGCTCTCGGTGGCAGAAAAGGTAACGTCGTATGAGCGGAGCCTGAAAAGCCTAAAGCAGCAATGCAAAGAGCTGCGGGGGGCAGCCGCTGTCGCCCAGAACCGGCTGGCTGCGGCATACGGCACCTACATGGTGCATGTATTGCGCATCCTGCTCACTCGTGGGCACTGGGAAGTCAACCTTGTCGACAACAGCGATCGGGGCTTGAGCTTGGCTTTCTTTGACGCCGCTACACATACGCTCTCCACGGCGAAGGCCGTCAGCGATATCCTCAAGTTGGACCCCGGCTTGGAGCTGATGCCGTTCTTCTTCAGCATCTTTCTCTCTCGGGGTTCCTTTCCACTTCTAGTATTTGCCACCAGGCTGCAGTTCCAGCAGCTGCCAGGCCTCCACCAGTTGTACGCCGTTGCACTCCGCGCTCACGAAGCTTGCATAGTTACGGGATCAGTGTCGGCCTCGCCGCATCGGCTGGCACTATGGAGTTGGTGGGGGATGCAACCGTTCCACACCTGGAGCCGTCCTGGAGGAGATGAGAGTGGACGAATACTGGCCTGTTCTCCGATGCCGACGCTTTATACATGCAGCCGGCTCCGACGATACATACAGGAGTCGAAGTCTCTGCTTGTCGTGGAGGCCCGGAGATCAGGACGTTTTCCATTTGCCCTACCTCAACCTAAGGACGATGAGAATGCGATATACGAAATCGGGGCAATACCTACATGATGGGGATGGCTTCAGCCCAAACACGTACCTTGTTGAACCGGATGATCTTGCTTTGGCCGTCCGATTCGAATGCGCCCCTGGACCGACAGATGTTAAGGGACTATCAGGGGATCCCGTGGGTCTAAGGATAGGTTGTGCTGTTTTTTATTGTATAGCAATGCAGTTCAGATAAATTGACACTTTCCATTCTTGTGTGAAAAATCCACGCGATCTCTCTGCATCATAAACACCGTATGGGCCACTTGCTTGGAATAACCGCTTCAGGCCCGGGGAGGCCATTCTATGTGGGTTTAATATGCTCCACGACAACTGGGCGTAAAGCAGAGGGGCGGGTGACGTCGCGAAACATTCACGCCGAAGCACGGCGTGTCGCTCAACGAAAGATAAGATTGGATCAGCGACGCGAGGTAAGTTGTTTTTCGTGGCGCATCCGTTGAGCTTACCGTCTCATCGGGCTCATCGAACATAATTGAGTTCTGCCACTTGGTACGTACCTTTTCTACCACTTGGTACGTACCTTTTCTACCACTTGGTACGTACCTTTTTCTGCCATTTGTACGTACCTTTTCTGCCACACGGTATTTCTTTTTGCCGCTGAAATCACGGTCCCGTATTTTCCAACAAGGGCTTTTCAAGCACTACTTCCCAATGTTCTCACCAGCCGGAAAATGGCATATGTAAACGTCACGTGATTAAGGTATGAATATCGGCTCTATTTCATCTACCGACGACCATAAGGCGCCCTACGTGGAGTTTAAATAGGAGTCGTGCCACCTTCTTGTGGAATGCCTCTAGTACCTCTGGACATTTCTCGAAATGGGCGGTGGGTTCCCAAGAATTGTGCCGAGGAAAGTAGCTGGCCGACATTGCAGTCTATCAACAAACCGACAACGAGTGCACTCTGTCACCGTCACCAAGAAGCGTCGCTCCACCTGCTTGCTGATGTGGCGGTGCGGGGGCGGTCGGAGCCGGCATCTGCGTTTTCAAGCTTCAGGGACTTGCTCCGAGACGAATCTGATGTGGGGGACCTTTCTCCACGTTACATCGAGAATGCTACGTTACCCTCAGGCCCAAACGCTAGAGTTTACCCTCCCGAATGGATTGGTGTTGCCGATCAGCTGTCTCAGTGGGCAGAGAGCTGGGATGGAGGGAATGGGAATCGGCACGGGCGCGGAGGAGGCACCTAGGGGAATGATTACATCCCATGAGTGCGGTAATGTGATGGCGCCCAGAAGTCCATCCCGGTTGGCATATAGTCTCAGAGGCAGCTAGAGAAGTCGGGAGACTGGACCAGGAGAAAATAGGGGTCCATCCTCCTCCAGAGGAAGTGTCGGATTCTTTCATGCATGAATTTCTGAATTTACGCGAATAAAAGGACTAGGAGGTTTTTTCCCCAGCGGCTCCTATCTTGCCTGCACATTCGTTTACTTCTCCCTCGCCCACCACTGTCTCCCGCCCTGCCGCTTCCCCAGCCGCCGGGCCTACGAAAAAGGTGGTAATAGAAAATAAGATCTCCTGTCAGTGGTTGAATGCCCGTCTCCTCGCTGAGGTGAAGGACAAACCCACAGTGCCATTGAATCCGGTGTGTCGTATCGCTGTCCTAGACGCAAATTAATACATCTATTGCGCCCTTGAAAATTGGCACCATAAGACTAGTTTCATCCTTCTCTATCCACACTCTGCTTTTGCCATTCTTGGGCTGGAAGAATTTCGGGACATAGGCAGGGTACTTGATGAACTTCCTGTGCGCCTCTGTCGCTGTTGATGAGCTGGATTTGGGACGGACGGAAGAGGCCAAAGCCGAACATGTCTGAATGGGCAGTCATATGACGTCACCACATTACGATTTTGGGAACTGGCGATTTTCAGGTCGCAGGAATAACAAAGACCAGAAGAAGTTTCTCGAAAATACTCGAACAACGACGGATATATATTAACGGCGCCTCCCGGGCCCTTTTCTGTGGCACGCTATGATGAAAAAGTAAGGGACAAAATCAGTGCGTGATCAATGTTCTAACAGATGCGTCGGTTTTGTCCGAAACGCTATGACTGACACTCGTCCGGTTGAACTGCTGATAACGATTGTTGATGGCGCTACGGCCGAGCATACCGGCCGATATTCTGGAGGCAGCCAAAGCCAGTTTTTCGAGCCCCTCGTGACCCACTTGCCATCCGAGCTTACACCGTAGTCTTGACGATGGAGAGTTGGCGAAGCAGTTCTTGACGGTACCAGGTGGAGGGTGTATGGCGGCGGCATAGGTAGATCGATAGTACCAAAATCCGTCTGGAGATGTAAGCCGGTAGGAGTAAATGATATAGCATAGGGGATTCTGTCAGTATTGAGCGTCTGCGTGCATCTCCCGGTCGCCGCATCCCAGATCTTAATAGTCTTGTCATCTGACCCTGAGGCGACGAGCCTTAAATCGGGCGAGAACGCGACGGAGATGACCGAGCCGCTATGCCCCTGAAGCGTCTGCGTGCATCTCCCGGTCGCCGCATCCCAGATCTTAATAGTCTTGTC